CTTTCCCTCTCCCTCTCCCTCCCCCCTCTCTATCTCTCTTTCTTTCTCTCTCTTTTTCAACATCCTTCTCGCCATCGATTGCGTCTGTGCTTTTTACAACTCTTCCGAGGCGACGGTGGGCATCGCGAACTCATGACAGAGAGGGACCCGGAAGCTCGTCGCTAAAAGGAATTTTAATCACATTCCCCGTGGCTGAAGTGACGATAAGGAGGTTCGTTGGTGGGCGATGGGATGGCGGCGAATCGAGGGTGGAAAAACGCTTTATCTTGCTCTCGATGTACTACACGTACTTTGTTCCTAAAGAGTTTACGGCTTTTTCAGTCGCGCGACCGATTCAATAATGCTACCTCATTGATGTGACATTTCGATAACAGTATGTAAATGTAATACTTAGATATCGATGGAATTTTATTATATAATTTTATTGTTTAATTTACTCGTATATTAGATCATTAAAAAACACAGTTGTACTTTGCGGAAATAATTTTTCAGCGTAATAGTTCAAAGAGAAATAAAGCAGTAAAAAACATAGATGCTATACAACGTCACGCATGACTTAAGATGTATGTGTATAATCCTTACAATTAAAGTATCAAATTAAAATAAATCTCTGTAAATGTAAGATTAAAAAAATATCATTTCTCCGAATAAAATATAATTTAAACGAAATATACAAGAAATTTAAAAGTGATAAGATTTTTTATCTATATACAATCTTCAAAAATATATGTTGATATATTTAATTCGAGAATCAAGATAAATTGGGCGTAGACAAGATCGAGTTTATTCCGAAAAATTAATATTTTTAGCGAAGACTTGTGTGTATGTTCACTTGATTAAAATATGGTAATTATTCAGAATCACGGCTCCACCTGCAAATAGGCTGCAAATTTTTTTACGGACTTTTTATGTTTAGAAAGAAATATAAATAACCATTTTTAGTTGAGGGAGGTCCAAAAAAGAAAGTTATAGACCAAAAAAGGGTAATTAATTCGAATAAGGTCTTTTCTGAATTTTGACAAATATGATCAGATCTCTCGGTAAAACTTTTTGTTGTGACTCCAACAGTGATAATCAGTCGGGGGAGCCCGTCCCTCATCACCCTCACCCCCCAAAAATCGAAAAACCCCAAAAATTACCGAAAATTAGGTAATTATGTACTATAAAGTTCACCCCACAATCCAAACCAAATTTTAGTTTTAAATCAGAAATACATTTTCCCATCTACACAACAATTGTGGGGTGGACCTCGCTTTGCTTTGTAAACTATATCAAATAGATCTTGCTCTGTTCAAATAGATCTTGCTCAATTATAGATTCAAACTTTTAGAAAAAACATGTAGAATTGATTATTTAAAAATATCGTATTTTATAGTTGCCTATTTTCAGTGATGTCACCTGATTATCTTCTGTGTGTTGTTTTGTATCAATAGTACAGTAACTTTAGACAAAAATCGAGCAAAAGCTTGGAAAAAATGTTAGCCAGCTAAATTTTGGCACAGACCTTCGTTTTTGCATAATATTGAAGGGGAAAAAAAGTTTACCATTGTACAGTGGCCGCTAACAAAAATAATTAAACAAATAGGGCTTACATTCCGTTTTTCTGCAAATATCTCGTTAAATATCAATTTTACAAAAAAAACACAGGAGTAGAAAATTAAAGAGTGAACAATTTTGCGCCGAAGGTAGAGAGAGCCGGTGAAACCCGGCAGAGCTAAGCGAAACCTTAGCCCCGAGAAGTTAGCAGATCGGTGTTAAGGAACGGATCGCAAGATGGGTTTTGGTCTCGATATCTCGGCCGGGTGACCTTATATACCCGGCCGGCGTCCCCCGCTGTGCGCCGTCGGTCCGGCGGTGGGGTTGGTACCGCGTGGGGGCACCGCGAGAGAGATAGCGCTTGCGGAGAGTGAGACGGCGGGATATAGTACAATCACTTTAGGGTTTGACCTTGGAAAAAATGTTAACCAGCTGAATTTTGGCACAGACCTTCGTTTTTGCATAAGATTGAAAGGGAAAAAAAGTTTACCATTGTACAATGGCCGCTAAGAAAAATAATTAAACAAATAGGGCTTAAATTCCGTTTTTCTGCAAATATCTCGTTAAATATCAATTTTACAAAAAAAACACAGGAGTAGAAAATTAAAGAGTGAACAATTTTGCACAAGAAATATTCTATAAGTTTTTTCGAACGAGCAATACTTTTCACGTAAGAATTTATGCAAGATATACGATTTTCGGTGAATTTACGGAGCGCGCCGATAGACGTTACGTGGATTGAAGCGTCACACGCGCGCACAGAAAGTGTCATAACTTTTGAATGAATCTTTATAAAAAACTATTCTGAGTAAGTATATATTTGTGTGTTCATATTTCTGATACATCATGTCAATGACGATCAGAATCAGTACAAGTTTAAACAGGTTTTTCGCGATAACTCGCATATTTACGTAAATAAATGAAAATTCAAAAAATGACGGAATATAAGAATGTGAAACCTAAAAGTAGACATTCCAAGCTTTCAATTGCTTTTTTAAAAACTTTTCTAGCGCAATTTTTCGCAAATTTATAACGATTTCAAGTTTAACGTTTCATCAAAAATTTTGAATATTACTGAAAATGTCAGTAGCTTGATTTTAAAGAAAAAAAATTTTGTAATTTTTTTCCTTTCGTAGGGTCAAAGTATGAAGTATATACTGTAATATCCTGCAGGCGTTTTTTTTTAACGGTTTGGAAGCTACTTGTAGCTGATTTTATGAAAGAAGGGAATTTTCATTTATTTACGTAAATATGCGAGTTATCGCGAAAAACCTGTTTAAACTTGTACTGATTCTGATCGTCATTGACATGATGTATCAGAAATATGAACACACAAATATATACTTACTCAGAATAGTTTTTTATAAAGATTCATTCAAAAGTTATGACACTTTCTGTGCGCGCGTGTGACGCTTCAATCCACGTAACGTCTGTCGGCGCGCTCCGTAAATTCACCGAAAATCGTATATCTTGCATAAATTCTTACGTGAAAAGTATTGCTCGTACGAAAAAAACTTATAGAATATTTCTTGTGCAAAATTGTCCACTCTTTAATTTTCTACTCCTGTGTTTTTTTTGTAAAATTGATATTTAACGAGATATTTGCAGAAAAACGGAATTTAAGCCCTATTTGTTTAATTATTTTTCTTAGCGGCCATTGTACAATGGTAAACTTTTTTTCCCCTTCAATCTTATGCAAAAACGAAGGTCTGTGCCAAAATTCAGCTGGTTAACATTTTTTCCAAGGTCAAACCCTAAAGTGACTGTACTATGATTATCACTGTTGAAGTCACAACAAAGAGTTTTACCGAGAGATCCGATCATATTTGTCAAAATTCAGAAAAGGCCTTATTTGAAATAATTACCATAATTACCCTTTTTTGGTCTATAACTTTTTTTTTTGGGCCTCCCCCAATTAAAAATGGTTATTTATATTTCTTTCTAAACATAAAAAGTCAGTAAAAAAATTTGCGGCCCATTTGCAGGTGGAGCCGTGATTCTGAATAATTACCAAAATATTTATCTCACATTCTTTTAAAAATCCTTCTAAATCAATTTTCGTCAACACAAAAATCATCATATAATGCCAGCCATTACAGCGTAAAAATTAGGACATGTCTTTAGAAAATTATGACATTCCCTTTCAAGCATCTCCGGGTGTCTAATGATCCCGTTTAACAAAATTACCCGAAGATTTCTCACCGGTCTTTCATCTTTTCTGGACATCGCTTTCAAGGCCGAAGGCTCTTTGAGGTGCCACCACCTAACCCAGTATCTGAGTACGTACTCACTTTAAAGTGGATTTTCACTTTACGCTTTACATGCTATATCGTACTGTGATAAGATGTTTTATACGTATATTTGAAATCGTTTCAGATTTCAAAATAATTCTTATTTCTTTCAATTTTAAATTTAAAAAAAAAGAAGTATTTTATATATCAGAGAGTATTGTATCATTTTTTAGTATTTTTTCATTAATTTCATTTATCGTAGAGTACTGTAACATTTATTATATAAAAATAATTTTTTTTTAAATGTTACTTCACAGAATGTTAATGCTCTTTTACAATTTACAAATTTGCAAATCTGTATTCTCTGAGACATGAATTCTCTACTTACATATTTCCTATATCAATTTTTTCGACTTTATAAATCATCTCGTCACAAATAATCTTTTTGATGGGCAGTAGCATTCATAAATATTTTATTGCATGTACGGAAGAGAACGGTATGCTGAAGACAATGCGATTTGCTCCGTTCGTCGAAATTCTGTACGCTGAAATGACGATAAGGAGAATTTCGCGGAATTCCGTTAACTTATGCACCCAAGTTTCTTCAATAACACTGCGATATGCCCTTTGTGACCAAACTTAACAGCCAGCCCTGCCAATTGTCTTCTTCGGTTCTTATTTATTATTGTGTAGCCGGCGCCAGATACAATTCAGATATCTGAGAAATTCTTTTTTACAGTGATTTTACTTTTTCGATAATTTTATCCAAAAATTTCTTGAATTTTATTATTCTTATGTAAGATATAGCATTATCAAAATTTATTTAAACAAAATTGCACTTCATGAAATACGACGCGCGTAAAAAAATACTAAGAAATATATTAATTATTTAAAAGCACAAAAGGATTGCGCATTTCGCTATACACGTTAATGTCTCCGAACAAGTTCTCTCTACTTCTCGAAGTTATTTTGTTCACGTTACGCAGCTGGCGCCTACGGCAATGGATAGTGTTCAAAACGGCTTGGGAGCAGAGGGGGAGGAAAAGGAAGACTCGAATAATTACCGTTCTCGACACACAGGCACTCTGAGGACATTCAAGTATTGTGAGAATTGTTAACGCTACCTGTCGCACCGATGCTAATTACGACGGTACACTCGCGTTCAACATGTGACTATTAATTGCAGCTGGTGAACAGACGGTGGATTAGATGCAATCGTATTTGTACGCAGAGCGCGAAGTTGCAGATACATCTCGGATATAGTTGCTCTTATCGTTATCGTGACGTTTGAAAATGACACGTGTCGATCCGACAGAAAAAAACGTGCGGAAATCGATATAAATATTATAAGACACAGTTAATGTATGTTAAGAATGTTATCATAAACAAAAGAAAATAGAAACACTCTATAAAATCAAGCTGTGGATAAAATTAAGGCAAAAAACAAATAATACACATATTTAGACGATATGAATCATCGGGCCTCCGGTGGCTCAGTGTGTAGCGCGCCTGACTCACATCCCGGAGATCTCGGGTTCGATTCCCGATTCAACCCTGGCCTCTGCGCTTTCCCATTTTTTCTTTCCTACCACCTCCCAACAAAAATTCCTTCCTTCTCTCTCTTCTCTTCTTCCAGTATATACGCATAAAAACTGAATTTACACTCTAATATAATCTGTTGTTGGCCCGAATACATGACCCACCCCAGATCATTACGGCCATTTAAGTATTAAAGAATACAAAGAATATGAATCATCGCGATACGAATACACATGGACTTATACCGTTCCATTATCAAGTCGCGTGTATTCGTAAACGTCGTGCAAAATCGGACGAATCAAATTTCAGATATTCCGATTGCGAGATTCGGAATCGAGATGCTTATCTAAAAGATGTATGCAAATGCGAATATGTAGAAATACTTCGGAGATACCCGAAGTAAGAAGCAAGTACAGACGGAGAGAGGAAACGAATGCATGGAATAGCGGATATTCTGATGATCCCTCGCGCTATTTGCGTGACAGATCCTCCCTATAAATCACCAAATAACAAATCAATAAGGACGCTTTTATTTGCGCGAGAGCTTTTATCCCCATATATATCGGTAAAAAATATATAGGGTGATCCAGAATTAGACCGAAAAACTTCAGATGGTTATAAAGAATACCAAAACAAGCCAATTTTGCCAATAAACTCGTATCCGCAAATGAGTCGTTTTCGCACTAGAGAATTAAAGACTAAGGGCAAAAATCTTCGAAAAAAATTATTTTTTCAAAATTTTATTAATGTGGTTAAATAGAGGTGTTTTTACCATAAAACTTTTGTATGAAACATTTTTTGATATCTCGAATAATTTTCGAGCTATATCGAGAAGAGCAAAAGATCGCTCTACGTATGAGGAGTGATTTCATCCCTTAGAATCGTTTTTAGGCCGCAACTGGAAATTCTAAATTCATCTATTTATCCCCCCCCCCCTCCCGCTACATATGTGTAAAATTTCATCAAAATCAGAATTTCCGAGTTCGCGAAATTCCCTTGTTAATCTTTGATTCTTTAGTGCCAAAACGGCTCATTTACACGTTTATTGGCAAAATTGGCTTATTTTTGTGTCCTTTATAATCACCTGAAGTTTGTCGGTCTAATTCTAGGACACCCTATATACGAGATACTTGTCGCTTTTTCTCTCCATCCGTACGTGCGTTTTTTGACGAATTTGTAATCGATATATCTTTGCAGTAAAAGTTGTTTTCGATTTTCAGTACTTGTTTTGCAATTTTTCATTAAATTTCTCTCAAAGTAAATTCTTTTAAAATAAATTCTATACACTAAATAATGCAAATGCCATTATTTTCTTTCTTCATATGTTGACACAATCGAGTCGATACGCTCGCGCAACACAGCCTGCATGCAGATGCCTCTTCGAGCGCACGCACAAGACAGCATCTGCATTTGTAAGAGTCCGGGCTCCGCGAGTATGGTCCTCGTGAGGCCCTCGTTGATGCGACCTGCGGTTCCTCTTTAATTAGAAAAAAACCTCGCGAGCTCACTTGGAACTCTCGGTTTGGAGAAGCTCGCCGTTCCGGCGAGAGGTCGTCAACATCCACTCCCGAGTTATCCCTGAAATCTTGTTCCATCCCTCTACTCATTCTTTCCAGCTCAATAAGCCCACTCCAAAACGCGTAAGACGGACGAGAGTTTGATCAAGATTATTGTAGATTCGAGCACGCGGATTAAAAAGTTGGCGCGAAATGTCCTAAAGGGGTTTCACCGAGGATGATCCGTGTAACGTCCTGCCGATTAAACTGCCCGCAAGGGTGGCCGACAAGAGTGGAAAGACACTTTCTGCAGAAATCTTACTTATTGACATATTTACCAAAAATTAAAATCGTGATTTTTATAATCTTTATATTATTTTTTAATCGACATTTGTATATAATAACAACATTCGTGTTTTTTTCTGCTAAAATTTATCTCGTGATTCTAAGTTCCTTCTTTTCTGTATATACGAACCTATTTTGTGATCTTACTTTGTTCTTGTGAGAGAAGCGTTACTGTCTTTCGAAAGATTTCTCCTAATATAAAAAACAAATTTCTTCCTTGCTTTTCGTTCTTCCAACTGGTAGAAACTCGAATCTTTTACTAGGAAATATTGACTTTTACTTCCGGATCCTCAATGTACGAGCACAACGCGTTACTTTCGAATAAGTGGATTAAAGGGATTTGAATAAGGCGATTAAAAAGTTTCGTCCGTGTAACGCGAATAAAACTGGCGAGATGGAAAGTGGAAGAATAGCTTATACGTTCAAGTTTCCATCGGGGACATGAGAAGGACTTGTTAATCGCGAATATTAAATGCAGAATTTAATTTTCCATCTCCATTATTGCAAAGATTTCTCAAGTCAAGGCAATACATCATATCGTCGAATATTACTATTTCAACAATAATAATATTTCCCTAAGATTCCCGAATATAATAATTTTCTTTAACATCTAACTCTGGATATTTTACGATTCTTTAAATTCTTTTGATGACAAAAAAGCTTTGTTCTCTATCTTTTTTCTGTCCATTGATTCAATTCTTCGGAATTTAAAAAAAAAAGAAGAAAAAGGAGAGAGAAAAGGATTATATATTCGTTAATCGCGATATTTCCGTAAGTTCCCTTATCGATGAAATCGGAAAAGGGCGATGCTACTCACTATGGAACCTGTTTCCCCGCATTGCCAGCACCATATACATTCTGTGAAGAGTCTCTTTGGTGGCCTTCTCGTGCTTGTCACGTGCTCGCGCTTGCAGTCTCAATTCCATGTCGGCTGAGCAGCATACTTCGCCACCGCTTCTGGCGCTGCCACATACTTTCAGTTCTTTCGCTGTAAGAAGAAGGGAACATGGATTAATTTAAACTATCCTAACGAGACAGTACGTCGAGACGACTTGACATATTCGATAATGCTATATATATGTATATATATTGTATATTTCTCTCTTTTACTTGTCCGAATTTTATCGGATTTGAAAAATGACAATTGACGTATTTGCTGTAGCATAATAAATGTAAAAAAATAATAAAATAATAAATAAGTATTTTATGATGTATGAATAAAACGTTGAAGTGATATTATTTCTTAACGATGTGTAAACAATCCATTTTCTTTGCTGAATTAAAAACAGAATTAAAAATGGCATTGTTAACCGAATATTAAAAGAAGAAACATTTTAAAAAGCATGCGTAAAATTTTCGTTTTTACATCCATGAGTCATTGGTTTCTCTATTATTAGTTGAAACGTTTTCAAAATATATACAGTGACTGAAATGCGTTCGAAGGAAAAATGCTTGCAACCGTGCAAGACGCTGGTCAAAAATTTCAGGTAAAAATGATTCAGTTCTGAGTATCCACGGTATAATACAAGGTACATACAATCCGCTCGATGAAAAAAAAAAAAATGGAAAACTCGTTTTTCCTTCCATGAAGGAAGAATGTACTTTTAAGGAGATCTATTTTTTTCTTTCGCACTTAATAGGGTACTACTTCCTTCCATAAACACATATATGTTATAGAACGCCATAAAACGCAATAAAATTAGTAGTTTCAATTCGCCACCACGTTTTTACTTTAAAAATTACTATTACAAAAACTGAGAATATATAACTAAAATGAAAGAGAAATACTACATATATAATCTAAAATAGTCTTAATATATAAAAAAATTCTGATGTGTGTATCAACGTGTTTATTGCAGAGAGACAGCAATGAGAAGGATTAATGGAGCATATATTGAGACATTTAAAAATTATGTCATTGTTCGAATCTATGAATGGATGAAAATCATTTTAACTCATAGAAGAAAACTCTACTCTGAGAAAAATTCCACGATATGCAGAAAACTCTCTCTCTCTCTCGCCCCCCTCCCTCTCACCCCTCTCTCCCTCCCCCTCCCTCCTCCCCTCCTACNNNCCCTCCCCCTCCCCTCCCCCTCTCTTTCTCTCTCTCTCTTCAATTTCGTAATTACAGTTTTCGGAACAGTCGACACAAGTAACGCGCGTTTTTGCCGTTAAAATGATTCGTTCGATGAAAGAGAGGGCATCATTTCTCGAGGGCATTCGAAAATGCCCTCGGCAAGGTAAATTCAGAGGATGTTTATTAAAGCGCGTGTGAATACAGCTCTTCACGCGCCTCAGTTCGTAATCCCTCGCAACATCTCGCAAAATAATTACCGGATTCATCGTCGCTTTAATCCTCTTAACCGAAAGGTATTCAAAAAAATCCGAAATTGCACACACGCGGTGTATAATTGAATAATAATGATATTAAATCTCTACGTTATTATCTGCGCTATTATTTCTAAAATAATCATCAATACATCATATATGAGTAATTGCGGCAAACAATATCGACGTAATTTTATACAACACCTTAGTTCACCCGATCGAAATCGCGGCTCTAAATGACAACAATCAGCTGTCTCGCTGTCCATCGTCAAAGCTAATCAGATCGCTAGAAATCGTGTTTCGAGACGTGCGTAATTGAGTTAAGCTCTGTGGCGAGACCAAACTCCGACAAAGTCGCACACACGCGATACAGATTATTCGTCGTCGCGTGCGATTTTCTCCACGAGTGTCGCGGATAAACCGGTAAAGACGCAGGAATTGGGGGACTCCTTATATGATTTGGCTTGACTTTCCGCGAGAATGCTTCGTCTTGATAAAGTTCAATCCTTTTTAGAATAGCGTACAATGAATGTTTGTGATGAATCTACAGGAAAGAATGTCGTATTCGCAAAAAGGCATGCTACACATTTTACGCAAACAATATAATTTAAGAAATAACAAATTAATTTTTTTAGAAAAAATACACAATTAATTGATTGCGTAGACTAAAAAATTTTTAACAAACAAAATATTATGTGTAGCTATATATAAATATAATATATGTAAATACATTCTATGTATATGAATATAATCTATATAAATCACGAATAATAATTGATATAATACTGATTATTTTATTGCATGATTTAACTTTTTATCAGTGTTGGCAATGGTTTGGAATGGATATCAATTAATTAATTAAACGCAATGTAATTTAAAACATAATTGACTGTAACATCTTTTGAGCGAGATTTGATCTTCGACGACAGAAAAGCAATACGAGACAACCGCGTGTCCCGATCGGGTTACTCCGTTGCTGGATCAAAATTGGATTACTTTTCTCGTTAACTCTTCGTATAGATGGAGAGAAGGGAAAGAAGAGAGAAAAGAACGACACCGAGCAATCCCGCGGAAATGAATCGGGATTACTTTTACAACGTGTCTCTCAAAGTTCCCAATGAGCGTGGCGTGGATTTGTGTCGGGAACGCGAAGAGATAGAGGAAAGACGGCGGGTATAAAATTAGCTTAGACCGTGCGGTATTGGCGGATAAGCGATGTAGCTATAAAGACTGATAAAAGCGATCGAGGGTAACGGTCGGCGTTGAGTTCCGACGAAATCGTCTGGATCGATAGGTACGCGGTTTGCGTTCGGAACGATACTGAAAAGACCGACGATATTGAGGAGGCGAAGAAGAGCGATTTACGACGTTACTCACGAAATCTTCTTTTTTTTTCTTTATTACAGCGAGAAGCTACGCCCGTTTCATCAATATTCTCTGAATAAATATCAACTATCATTTGTTTAACAGAAAAAAGTCATAAACCATATTTTGATAAAAAGTGTAGAGCTTTCCAAATGTATGCAAAGTTTCTTAAGGATGTATGTGTCATATGTCAAAACATATTGACAAAAACATGAAAATTTCGTAGACTGATTTACTATTTCTTCTGAGTATTTGTGCAAAAGCTAAGCACAATTCTCTTAATGGTTTGGAAATTATTTAAATTTAAGGTTTGTATTGATTCTTATGGAAATTCGTGTATTATAGCATTTATTGACGAATCTGACAAGAAAACAACATTGCCAGCAAAATAAAAATTTTCGCATATATTAACAAAACTAATAAATATTTATAGATCTAAATTAAGTTTTGTATAAATATTTACTCGTTTAAAAATTATTTACAAAAAATTGTAGCGAAATACTTATAGTAATCCAAAATCTTCCTGTAATTAGTCGTTTTTTTTGTTTTTTGCAGTTGATTTCAGGGGATATTTACGATTAAAAGTTTTGTCATAAATTAAAAAAAGATATATTGTCTTTTAAGAACATGTTAAAAACGATATTATTTTGTGATAATTCTTTCATAATCCAGATTTATTTATTTGATTTTCCAAACAATATAAATGTAAAAAATATGTTTTTCTTTTAATTTCGACAACTTTTTGCTACTATTGTACAGCCAAAACAACCTTAACGTTTCTATGAGTTTTTCGAATCTTCGAAATGCGCCTTCCATCCCGGCAGTGAATAATCCTAACTCGAGAAATCTGATGTCCTTAATATTCCTTAATATCCCTTAATATCCTTAATTTCAGAGATCATGGCACCAGCGAATAAAGCTACGAGAGTTGGGGGAGCTTCGCGAGAGGTGACGCGCCGCGGCTTTTACGTGCGCGATTAAGAGGCCTCGCAATATACAGACGCGATAAATCTCTCGACGCGACGCGTCGCCGTCCGTCGTGCAGGGCCGGGGTGTTAAAAGGGCGCTGGAGGACAAGGTGGCGGAAAGGGAACGACGGCTGATTCGAAGGCTGTTAAAAGCGACCCCGAAGAGGTCGCGTAAAAGCTCCGAGCGAGGCGTAACAGGGTGCTGTTTGTTAACGGCGTCGCGACGCCGGGATTATCGTCGCGACGTCGCCTTCGAGACGAGCAGTCGCAAATCGGCGATTGCGTTTTCTCACTTAGAAACATTTCTAAATGCTACTTTACATCTATCTTTATTGCCCCCGCGTATCTAATTGGATAATCATATCTCATTTATAGGGTGTATACTCAAATCTTGTAAAAAAATTTCCTAAAAATTCCCTGATTTTCTATTTTATTATTGCTCCATATTGTTATCCATTGTATTTTTGTTCAAAATTCCAGGTAAAGAAAATATTTTAAAAAATTTTTTGGTGCAATTTCCTAAAATAAGTTTCTTTGTTGTACGCGTTTCCTAATGTTTTTCATTCATACAAAGAAAAAACACAAAGCACTTAAGTTTCAAGTGCTAGATTTATAAATATATCGAAAATAAACTAAATAGCTTTTGTTAAGATAAAAATGTTTAATTTGTATAGCATTTTAATTTTTTATTACTAAAAATTAAAATGAAAAATAAGTACTACATATTCAATATTTTGTTAAGACATTGAATATATAAACAGAGATATCGGCAGATTGCCTACTGCTTACAATATAAGAGCAAAATGATCAAAGAAATAATTTTTTTTTTTAAATTCCCTGAGTCCTAATAAAATTCCATAAGAATTCCCTGATTTCTCCAGGTACAAAAAAATTCCCTAAGAATTCCAGTTTTCCATGTTTTTCCAGGGAGTAGATACCATATCATTTATTTTATATATTTATTACATAAAAACAGTAGAGCAACAGATTTAGGGAAAACATTTTTTTCACATTACGCGAGATATCTCGTTTAAAAGCCGGTCGGCTCTCTCTCTCTCTCTCTCTCTCTCTCTCTCTCTCTCTCTAAGAACGGCCAGATCGCTCGCTCGAATTAACCCGTAGTTAATCGGTCGTTAAGCCGACTGTCCGATGAACGATGGCGATGCAACAGCACGTGGGCGCGTCGCACACGTTCTCGGGTCTCGGGATAATCGATCCTGAAACTGACCTAAGTTTAGCAATCCTCCTCGTTCACCGAAGGTAAAAGGGAACCATAGTCAAACGCATTGGGTTGAAAATCTCGGTCAATCTCGGTCTCGAGAATTTC